AATATGACCCCTGTGTTTTTTAGGTTTTGTGCCCCAGGATGTGATGTAATTCTATGAATTTAAATGCTAAGAGTTTTGCTTTTATTTTTATACTCTGCAATCTCTGAAAAGCATATTTAGCAATAAATTCTGCAGTGTAATCTAGGGCTTCAGATGTGTAAAAAAAGTAAGATTTAATCTGTAGCATGTAGAAGTTTTTAATGTTCGTATTGTCAGATTAGTACCACATTTAAATGTGTAGCTACAGTCCATAGAGCTTGGAATTTCAGACATTGTTTCTATTATCCTTTGAACAGAAACAATCAAAGAATGGATCTGGAAGCCAGCAGGAATTTGACATCTGAGCAAAAAAATAAGTGTGTTTAGCTCTCTTTTTTTTTTTTTTTTTTTTTTTTTTTTTTTGACTTTTGTGGTTTTTGTCATTCCAAAGAAACACTGCTTCCCCATTTAATTCTCATTTCTGTACAGTATCAAAATACCCTCTTTTTCCACTCTTTCTAATATTTTCACAAGTGAAGTCTGTAAGTCTTTTAATTTCACTAGCTTGATGCCTTCAACTAAATAGTGTTAAAACAAACCTGTTTGTACACTAGTGTGTTGTTACTGAAATTGCCATTGTTATTGTAGAAGTACAGTACCTTGAGGCCTTCAGATATTTATTCTCCATTCTAATGTTCAGTAAATGAAGTGAGCACATCGCAAGAGAAATTAAGAGTAGGTATAACAAGAACTAAAATTATTATGTGGCAGGATAGGTGTGCAAAACTAATGTGTTAATTGTCAAAGCCAATGGACTGAATTTGGCATGAACTATAACAGTGTGACAATGCCTGTAACTTGTTGCAGTTTTCTCCTAATGGAAAAAGCAGATATGACCTCCATTTTGAAGAACAGAGAGATGAGGGGAGAGGTAGGCATGGGATCAAATCATAATGACTTAATTATTTTCTTCAGTAAACTAATCAATCTCAGTAACCTTTTAAAAACTCATTTTCTAGAGTATCTGTTGCCAGCATCATCTTTCATTGAGCTTACAGGGAGCGTGGCTGCTGGGGTATTTTACTGGGTGCTTAGAAAAGCTAAAGATGGCTGAAAGACCAGAAGGAATGAATTCTGGTCTTCATAGGTAAGACCAGAATTTACAGTGTTAGTCTATAGATTTATGTGAGCAGTGGCAAGAACCCCACCGTGTAATCATATAAATCTGAACTGGGCTCACTTTAGAGAAATCCACAAAGTGGGATCCAGGCTGAATGTAATATTTGAATATGATGTGTTTTACACAACATTGCATTTTTCAAGTGGGAAGCCTGTAAGATGTGTCTGAAGATAGATACATAAAACTTGCAGAAAGCTGACTGGCCTGTGCTCCCTAGCGCCTATCTGCATGCTCTTAACAACGGTACTTAGCAGGTAGCATTTACACCTTTTTACTTTAAAGGATAAGCTTTCTTACATTTAACACATAGTAAGAGCATGCATGAAGTAGTTACTGTTGAATGTCTGATGTGTGCCAAATTCATGTCCTCTCTTACTTGGCAGTAACATGCATATCTCTTTGTATTCTGAGGCCTAACTCCTTTTAGTAACCTTTTAATTAACCTCACTGTAGGCAGAGGATCAGAAATGTTCTTTTTTTTGTTGTGGGTTTTTTTTTTCCAGGGGTTGGAAGTGCTTATTTATAGAAAAATAATTGACATGCTGTAACTGTGCAACCATATAGCAAGCTGTATACACTGGCCAGTCTAAGTAACTGCAAGTATATGTTGCAGTCATTGACAGACAAGAAGGAAGTGATTGCAGCTGCTGCAGCATGCATTCCTTGATGCTGTAAGAGTTTACTTTGTGCTTATATCAACCGTATACGTAAGGCTTATCTGGATTCATGCTGGACTTGAATTAATTGTCCCTCCTGGAGTGCTTGGACACACCCAGCTGCCCATGCAGCACTCTCTCCCTGCAATCAAATATTTCTGCATCTCCCAGTACACCCAGTGTTATCCAGATTATCTCCGCATTAGTTTGAGTATTGGAGATTTAACAAGAGGTCTGTATTTTGTGTATAAATACACCTCACAGTTCCTTGATCAACATGTTATTCCTGTTTTAATAATGAAGCAGCTGAGGTGTTCCGATTGGTGTTTTCAAAGATTATAAAACAGTTTTCAATGAATCACTGTGTTTTTCCCTTTCTTTATCATCTATAGGCTCTGTATATCTCGGGATTTGTAGATGCATGATGGGCAGAGTGCTTTTTCCAGGATGGTGTATGTTTTGTTTCTATAAAAGGAGTAGATTTTGATGTTCTGTGGTAGTTAAGGAGGGTTTTAGTAATCATATAATCTCAGCCATTGAAAAGATTTATGGTGAAGGAACCTCTAGACTTCACACCTTAATACTGGTGGTAGGGGAAGTGTCTGTTTGAACCTCAAGGCCTTGGACTGCCATTTTGGGAGGCAAGGAGTTAGTTGGGGATGGAAAGACTGGAGTTTGTATTCTTTCTGCTCTGTTACCCATTGCTATCTTCATGGATCTGACACTCTGTTTATCTGACAGTGCACTCAGTACTGCTTCGCCAGGGAAAATTGCACAAAACAAGCCCAGTGCATCAGCATTTTCATTGTGTATTAAGCTGAGCCTCCCTTCACATGGTCACATCCCCTTTTTAATCTGGGATTCCATGTCCCTTTCCCAGTCCAGCCTGTTTCTGTGGTGTCTATTGCTGGTCTCCCTGAGCTTCTGTTTCTGTGGTTTGAGTGTTTTTTTGTGTGGCTGAGTGTTAAGACCTGCAGGACTTTTGGAAGTGGTGTTGTTTGGGGGTTAGGCAATACACTGATTTAGTGTTAGTAGTTTGTCATAAACTGAGGTGATGGCTGCGTTCAAGTTGGATTTCCTCCCAGAGATGATGGTGGACCATTGCTCCTTGAATGCTAGCCCTGTGTAAGTATTTTGTCTTCATATTGAAGTTTAAAACTTAAAGTGATAGTTGAAATGGCTGTCTCTGAAGCCTCTGGTGTCTGAACTCCCCTCGAGGGGGTGGGGTAAAGAGAGATAAGAGAGTCTGCAGTTTGTTTTCTTGAAGAAATCATAGTGAACATTGATAATTGATATTGGATTCTGGAGAGAGGGCAAAAATGATCGGATAGTTTTAGGGGGCTGAGGAGAAATTAAGCTGTTTGGCAGTACTGTTTATAGTATACTACAGGTGCTGATGTTATAAAATCGGTTATTGAAATTAGTTGTTGGGAGGACGGTTTCAGTTCTTCCCAATTAATGATTCCAGACTATACCTTTTAATTAAGAATTAAATGTTGTCCTTGAATGCTGTTGAGGTCATGTTAAGAGCTGTCCAGTTAACAGAAGCCATGCTCTGCTCTTGAAAGTACCCATGGCATAGAAGGCAGGGCTGAAAATTGTTACTGGAAGACGGTAAACGATTTTTGGTTGTTCTCAGGTGGAATGAAAAGACAGTGAAAGAAAAGAGGTCATTTTTGTGAAAGATATTGTTTGCCTTGGCTGTTTGGAGAGGTGTTGACCCTTTCTGAGTGGAAAGGTAGTGAGGAGTGAAAGGATTTATGATGATTCCCTTCCCTTCGAGTAAAAAGCTTTGTTGTTTCTGAGGTCTGTTCATGCAGCTATAAAATAGAGCTTTCCCTGGCATCAGGTTTTCCTTAGGCTCTGAACAGCAGCATATTGAGGGGAAAAATTAACTATGCGTTACCTGGTTTGGAATTATTATTTTTAAAAATTCTATTCAGGAGGGAATATGATTGCAGACGGACAGTGAGAGGAATGCTGTTTACTGTAATATGCAGTTAAGTCATTCACAAACTATCTTTAAAGGAAAAAAGAGCCAAAGAGAGCTGACAACTCTGGAAGGCCACCTGTATTCTTCAGCAAAGAGTTTGGGCGGGGGGGAATAATTGGATTATTACTATTCCACTCCCCATGTGCTTTTTAGATTACGCAGGGGTTAGCTGGGTTAAAATTAGCAATTCTAACCTACTAATTACTGTAGCTACAACAGGATGTTGTTACAGTTGGTCTTCCACAGAGATAGGTCTTGTGGTATACTGGGCTGTGACTACTGACAAGAAGACTTCACATTGCTTGACAGTGAGGAGTCCATACAGAAAGCAGCGTATGCCAGTCAGCTGGCTGTGTGGAGTATAACACAGTTTTATTAATAGGGTGTAAACTGTTCATATGGCTAGATACAATGCCTTGAAGCCTATTGAAGATTCCCATACTCAAAACTTATGTGTTGTAGTCTAAAAAGTGAGGGGTTTTTCTATGTTAACACGCTGCCGTTAGTCAACTTGATTCAATCTGTGACTGACTTAGACTGTCCAATCCCAGCCTGTTCATGTACAACGTAAGCCTGTTTTTTGCCAAATATTGTTGAAAGCTCCCTAGTTTCACTGAGCTATTGCCTTGTAAACCTTTAAGGAAACTTCTCCTCTGTTCAGTTGTACCTGTTTTTCTGTTTTAAGATGGATCTTCACCCTGAGAAACTGTTCCAGATACTCACATTTAAAAACAATGAAAAAAAGTTATCCTCTCATTTTCAGTGGTTACTGATAACTTCAATAGTCTATGGGTAGACTGAGTTTAGGTTGGTTCCTTCCTGTAAAATTTTACATGGTTGAACTAGTGATATTTCTCAACAGATTTACGTTCTGAATCTCAGGTGTTGAGTACCTTATAGGAACAAACATTAAGAGAAATTTTAAACAGCTGTGTAGAGAATGTTTGATGTCCAAGTACAGAGTTTGCCAATGAATGATGTTTCTGAATATTCTACGGTATGCAGGACTGGGAATGTGCAAGAGTCTCTCTTTATATGTAAATTTCAATCATACTTTTATATATGTGTAGAAATATATCTTTTTTTTTTTTTTTTTTTTTAATAAACCTTGCTGTAAACATACTTCTAGCTGCGATGGGGTCTAGAATCTGTGGAAAGATATAAACTATAAATTCCTTCTTGTTTTTCATAGCTCAAAGAAAATGAATGGCACACTGGATCACCCAGACCAACCTGATCTAGATGCTATCAAGATGTTTGTGGGTCAGGTCCCACGGAGCTGGTGTGAGAAGGATCTAAGAGAACTTTTTGAACAGTATGGTGCTGTCTATGAAATCAATGTCTTGAGGGACAGGAGCCAAAACCCTCCTCAAAGCAAAGGTGAGAACTGTACTTCTCATGTGAGACTTGGGGTCTCAGCTGCTTTCACATAGCTTACCTGTTTGCTTATTCAGATGTCTCTGTGTGTTGGAGCTCTGTGTGACCAGGTGTGCACACAAGCCCAGGTTTTATAGTCTTTAAGTGTATGTGTCCAATTATACTTGGACTGTGGTCCAGTCATTAGCTGAGCTGAGGAAAATGGTTGGTTTTTTTTTTTTTAGAGCTCAGAAGTGATGGGCGTGCATGAAGATTATGAATTATAATTGCAAAGCAAAACATCAGATTTAATATTATGCTGCTCCAGATCATTGGGATGTTATGATCAAAATGTTGCTGGAAGTGTCACACTTTAGATGGAATATAAATTTGAGGTCTTAGTAATTTGTGTACATAAAATACTTGTGTACATCAAATCCTAACTAAATACTGTACTGGGATTCACAGTTCAGTCATATGCAATATCTTACTTCTTGTGAAACTAGATGAGGTTTTGATACTAGCAAATAATTGTCGAATTTGATAACGGAAGTAGCCATTTGGCATATGTATCTAAATGTTTGTTCTAATGGTGTATTGGCGATGATGGGTCATTCTGAATATACCCTATTTTGTTACACCTAACAGGCACAATCAGTAGTACCGACTTATTTCAAAGTCTAACCTATTTTTCGTATGTTTTGTGTCGGAAGGATAGAAGTGGGACTTGCAATTTCTGTATAGCACTTCAAGATTCATAGTGTTTGTTCTTGGCTAGCATTTTGTTTTAATTGCAGGGTGCTGTTTTGTTACATTTTATACCCGTAAAGCTGCACTAGAAGCACAGAATGCTCTTCACAACATGAAGATCCTCCCAGGGGTAAGAGAAAAGCCATTCTTTCTTCACAACTCTGTCTTGGTTTTCTGAGCTCTGGAGCACTGATTTACTAGCATATGTTACCTTGCCCTCAGATAATTTTTTAAGAGAACTATTCAAAAGAACAACATCATGAGATTTGTGTGATAACAGATCTTAAGGGAATTTTGGAGCATTTAGGAGAATAATATGGTTGTGAAGAGGGTGGTCATGGCTCCTATAATACTCTCTGAGGAGAAATGATGGCATATCATTAGGAAAGTTTTTCTTATAGAAATGTATATATCATTACATATGCACTTCTTTAGAGGGAATTTAGGCTACCATTTCTTTCTTCCACAATTCTTATGGAACGTATTTCATATAGTATGAAGTGAATGCATCTAGAATTATATAATCTTTTTCCATTTCAGATGCACCATCCTATCCAAATGAAACCAGCTGATAGTGAAAAGAGTAATGGTAAGCTTTACTAAAGTCTGAGTTTGGTGGCATCATTCATGCTAATAGGGAAGCTTGAGGATTTTCCTTCTGTTGAACAGCTTTTGATGAAATCTTGAACTGGAGACCTGATTTTTTTTTTTTTTTTTTTTTTTTTTTTTTTTTTTTTTTTTTTTTTTTTTTTTTTTTTTTTTTTTAAAGGGGGGAAAAAAAAAAAAAGTGTGTTTTCAATGTAGTAGGTAGTGTAAGTGATGTCTCTAAAATTCCATGACTCAGTATCTCCCACTGCTGCTGCTTGTGGTAGAACCATGTTGTCAGTTAGGGAAACATCCAGTGAATTCTTCTTTGTACTAAGGTGGTTTAAATCTTTGTTGGGGACGTGGACAGTGGGATTGAGTGCACCCTCAGCAAGTTTGCAGATGGTGCCAAGCTGAGTGCTGTGGTTGATATTCTAGAGGAAAGGGGATGTGCCTTACAGAGTGACCTTGACAGGCTTGAAAGATGGGTCTTTGTGAACCTCATGAAGTTCAACAAGGCCAAGTGCAAGGTTTGGCACCTAGTCTGGGACAGTCCCAAGCACAAATTCAGGTTGAGTGAGGAGTGGATTGAAAACTGACTGAGCTGTCAATGTGCACTTGAAGGCCGGAAAGTCCACCGTGTCCTGGGCTGCATCAAGAGAAGGTCGAGGGAGGGGATTCTCCCCCACTGCTCTGCTCTTGTGAGATCCCCCCCCTGCAGTGCTGTGTCCAGCTCTGGGGGTACCAAGATCAGAATGACATGGACCTGCTCGAGTGGGTCCAGAGGAGGCCACAAAGATGCTCAGGGGACTGGAGCACCCCCGCTGTGAGGACAGGCTGAGAGAGTTGGGGGGGTTCAGCTGGAGAAGAGAAGGCTCCGGGCAGACCTTAGAGTGGCCTCCCAGGATTTAAAGGGGGCTACAGGAAAGGTGGGGAGGGACCCTTGATCAGGGGGTGTAGGGATAGGACGAGGGGTAATGGTTTTAAACTGAAAGATCGTAAATTTAGATTTAGCTGTAAAGGAGTTCTTCCCTGTGAGTGTGTTGAGACACTGGGACAGGTTGCCCAGAGAAGCTGTGTCTGCCCCCTCCCTGGAAGAGTTCAAGGCCAGGTTGGATGGGGCTGTGAGCAACCTGGGCTAGTGGAAGGTGTCCCTGTCCAGGGCAGGGGGGTGGGACTAGATGATCGTTAAGGTCCTTTCCAGCCCAAGCTAATCTGTGTTTCTCTGAAATCTAGAAATGCTTTTTCAGGTGCTTGACCAATTTGAAGCAAGGCCTGCTGTAGCTAGGGTGGGAGTCAAAACTTTTTGTACTGTACAATGGAGATAGAGAATTCAAATCAATTCAGTAGACAAAAAACTGAATTATTTCTGCACATTGGCTGTTTCAGAGGGATTAAGACATTTAACATCTGTCATTGAGTAAACAATCACTAATACATATATTTCCATTATGAGTTTATATACGTGCGTATATACATGCTCAATGTGTGTGTATATAGGTTGCTGCAAGATAAGCAAAGAAAGTGTTTAGCTTCAGCCTTTCTAGGCTTGGCTGAATTTTAGTTTCTTCATTTGACATAGTATAAGATTAGCGTTGCATCATGGAAAAGATAACCCTAGTTCCAGAAAGCTTGCATCTCAAGATAATTGAAAACAGGAGATGGGATACACAGGTAACATGTAGTAGGACTAATTCCATCTGCATATTCCTCCACATTTATATAGAATATGTTTCTGTGTAAATATATCTAGAAAGGAGTAACTCTTTTGAAGTATTATTGTTGGGAGAAGAACTCTCTAAGCTAAAATTGATCTTGCATTATAGTCACACACATATGAATATGCTGGGAAAATAATGGAAAGAGGAAAAAAGTATTTAATAGAATTTTAGGGTAACAGTTCTGAGGCTCTTAAATAATTATATGAGCTTTAATTAAAAGTGTAGGCAAAAATAAATAAAGTATCAATTAAAGTATTTTAACTTGCCATTAATGAAAGGGATTCTGGATCTATTGAACTAAGACGGGCTGCAAAAAAGATTGAAAGCAGCTTTCTGCTGTAAGAGCTTGAAAGTGAACTGGGCATAACATTAAGATCTAATAGTCAAAGTCATATCAGCTAGGGTAGTTTGGAATCTTCCTTTTCAACACTGTAGAAAATTCAGAAAATAAGTTGGTTTCCCTTCACCATAGCACTGAATAGGAGAAGACTTTGTCTCTTGAAGCTTCAAATTGTACTACAGCCTTCATCATACTCTATATTGTGCTGAACATTGTATTTGCAAACGGTTTCCTATTTCCAAATGATACTCTGCATAATTTGCTTTATCCTTTAAAAGCAAATATTTCAGAGGTGATTTAATATCTTTAAGTAAAACAAGAGGTAGAAAGTTCAGCTCTGGATTCAGATTTGCTGTGCTCCCTTAAGTGGTCTTAAACTGACATTAGTAACCACTACCTTACTAGATCATATATTTTAAAATAGGTCTGCACCCTGAAAGGTATTTTTCAACTTTAATGTATCTAGTAGTATCAGCATTTAGGGACAAGCTACAGTAGCACACAGTCCATCCATGATTTGAGGTGTTATCTTCATGCATTTGGTACAGATCAGAATGGATGAATCTGAAACAGAACTAAAACTGTTCTGTTTTAGCAACTGCTGCTGCTTCCACTGTTGAGACAGGTGCATGAGGAAATAGGCAGATCTAAATTTAAGGGATTGGCATGATAAAGAGGCTAGAAAGAAGCTTTCTGCAGCTCATTTGCTTGTTTTGATAGTTAGGTATGTTGCTAGTCTAGAGATAGAAGAGATGGAGGAGAGAGGATGAAATAGTCCAATAAAACACATACATGTCTTCTCTCACTTACCAGGAACTGAATGTAGGAGATACAGGGAAGTGGTGAATCTGGTACATTTTTTTCCTTTTGTTACGTTCTTGCAGTTCACAGGCTTGCAAGGGAGAAACAGTTAGCAAAATGTAAACATAAAACATCATAAAATGGGCATCCTTCAGGTTCATTGAGGTATCTTGTATACATCCTCTTTAACTGAAGAGATTCCATTATTGGGAATCTGTTTTTTACAAGCCCCTACCCTAAATACAATAACTGCAGTTGATGGAGAAGATAAAATAAGATCTAGTAAGTGCAAATTTGCTGGTAATACTCTTATCTTTTGATTTCTTAGCAGTAGAAGATAGGAAGCTGTTTATTGGGATGATATCCAAGAAGTGCAATGAAAATGATATCCGAGTGATGTTCTCCCCCTTTGGGCAGATTGAAGAATGCAGGATATTGCGGGGCCCTGATGGCCTGAGCCGAGGTAAGCAGGAAGCTTTTCCAACAGTTGAAAGTTTTCCACTGGATTCTGCTTTTTGCCACTGAGGGTGCCTTTTCAGCTCTTTCTGTGGTGTCACCCCTCACCGTAGACATTTTCATTTCTTTATTCATCCCTGTAATTGCAGATGTAGTGAATGACTTGGTTCCTTTTTCTTCCTTCCCCAGGTTGTGCATTTGTGACTTTTACAACAAGAGCCATGGCACAAACAGCTATCAAAGCAATGCATCAAGCACAAACCATGGAGGTAAAACAAGTTAGTGGGTGTCAGATGATGTAATTTGTCAGGCAGTCACTATGGAGTTTGGAGGAACTAGAGAGCAGAGAGAAGGATAAGTGCAGTGTGTGTTGCTTAGCAGATGCTACTCCTGGACCTTTGTGTGTGTTCTGTCTCTGGTTTTAGAGCTTGAGATAGAAACTTCTGCAGAGAAAATACCATAACACAAAATAGAATTAAAAGCAAATAAGATTTTGAACCTTTGATGAAATGTGTATATATATGTAGGAATGTGGGGGTGGGGGAGGGGAATGCTTCCAGTGACTGGGTCTTAATGCAGTATTTTTGTGACTGCTGGGGATAGCAAGTATGTAATTGTTTGAATTGCTGTTTGCAGGGTTGCTCTTCTCCCATTGTGGTAAAATTTGCAGACACGCAGAAGGACAAAGAGCAGAAACGAATTGCTCAGCAACTCCAGCAACAAATGCAACAGATCAGTGCTGCCTCAGTATGGGGAAACCTGGCTGGTCTCAACACGCTTGGACCCCAATACTTAGCAGTGAGTTTCTGATTTGGGTTATTGTCATCTATTCAGGGACTACAGTGTCTAACTGTCTTGTAGTGTTTAATGTGTTCATTTTTAGAAGGCTCCTGATAGACAGGTGAAGGATTCTTAATCCCCATTTTGTGGACAAAGAGACTGAAATTAGTTTATGTGCTAAGAGCTAGTCAGAATACACTTAAGTGAGGATTTCAACCTCAGTCACTGTAGCTCTAACTACTGAAACTTTTTTTAATCCTGTCTGCTGTAGAATGACTTTGTGCTGGGAAGATGTTCTTCATATGTTACGGCCTTAATGTTTAACCATATAAATACCCTTTTCGTGTCTATCTGATGGCATAGTTCTTGTATTTCTCTACGTTTTTCCTTTTTCAGTCTTTATTTCTCTCATCCCCTTCCAATGAAACCTGGAACAGTACTTGATGCTGTTCAGTAGAAAAGGTGATCAGGTTGGAAGTGCCAAGCAGCTGACAGTGCACAGAATAAAAAACAAAAAAACACACAAAACCCCCAAACAAACCAAAAAAACCCACACAGAAAATAGAGGGGAAACTATTCTCATTAGCAAAACTGACAGAAGGTAGTCTGCCATTTGTCACTGATTTTAGTTTGTTTTGCTGGGTTCTTAAAAGGGCAAATTTTTCATAAACTGATGTGCTCTAGCTCACGTGGGTCACCAGAATAGCTATAAGAACTGTATTCATGCAACATAAGGTCTAGGGAACAGAAAAGGAAAATTTTATCTCATACTTGGTATGGTGTACTGCTGAAGTGGGGACATCCTCTCTTTACTACTGCTTTAGGTTTGATAGATTTAAATTTTTAATAACAGCATTACTCCATAACTCCATTAGTTAATGGAGAAAGGAATAGGAAATCTGTCTAAGAAGCTTCTGAGCTGAGGCTTGACATTTCTCTCACGGCTGCTGTGCTGAAGGAAAGTGGAGGGGGTTTCCTCTCTCCGTGGCTCTTTGGCTTTGGTATGGCATTTGCCACTTGTCCTATGCTGGCAGCGTCAGCTGTAAAGTCTGGCTTGAGGTAGTATATCCTTAGGGGTGGCAGTCCTGCCTGGGGTGCTTTGGATAGAAGTTCTCTCTCTCTCACTACTGATTCTGCTGGTTTTGTCTTAGTGTATTAGCTACAAACTCCCCTCAACTTTGATGATGTTGAGTGAGGAATGCTGTTGCTTTGGCTGCAGTGTGATGCATGGGCAATGTGGATTTTCACTATGGCAGCACTCTGGCTATATTGTGTAAGGGGAATTGTCTTTACGCTTTGCTACAATCTGGTGCATGGGCAGTGGGAATTCCCTCTGTGACGGCGCTCTGGCTGTGGTGTGATGCAGTTTCTCCCAGAAGCAGAGCCAGCCCTCACTCTCACTCTTGTTTTGTTTTTTGGTGTAATGTCTAGCTTTATTTGCAGCTCCTTCAGCAGACAGCAGCTGCGTCATCTGGGAACCTGAACACGTTGAGCAGCCTCCACCCAATGGGAGGTGAGTTTTTTTCCATCAGAAGACAAATTCAGTGCCAAATAAAAGAGGAGGAGGGTAGAGAAAGTAGTCAAAAGGCTGTAGACACATTAACCTCATTTGAAATAAGTAGTCCTGAGTTTACTCTGCCCTTTGGAATGACAGGAATCCTCTGCTACAAGTATGGATGGTCCTTCTTAATCTTAGTTTAGCCATTGTCCCTAAGGTAAGTTGTGGTATGTTGGTAATCTCCTCTACCTCTGGCATTTAAAATCACCTTCTCTGATGGATGCAAAAAGGTGGTTCTGTATATTGTTTTCATCCAGACAGGTGCATATGTGAAGCATTGTGTTTTGAAGAACTAATGTATCCATTTCAGTGATAATGAATTCTTGGGTTTTCCGTTTTAAATTCTTCGTTCTTAAATACATCAGAGTTGAAAATGCAATGTGGGTAGGAATATGAACTAGTCATTCATTCATTCAGGTTCTTTAATTCCTTCGTTTGAATTACAATTGTTTATGCCATGGCTGTTAAGGAAATATCAGTTTAACAGGTCCGAGCTAAATTCCTTGCTGTGGACTGCTAGTCAGAATATTCACTGAGTATAGCTGTACTGGGGCTGCAGATTGATTATCCCTTCTGTCTTCATGGAGTGGGGAATAATAAAACACGTGTTAATAACTCCACCACATTCTCTAAATTCTTCTCCTGGCAGAAAAAAACTCTGGGTTTTGTTTTAACACTGAACATTTTAAGGTTCTAAAACTCCCTTCTGGAGTTGCATGGTAGTTCACAGTATCACATGCCCTGTTTGTGCAGAGGTTGATCTGAAAGTGTTAAGAAAGTAAAGTGGTTTTGTACATCTGACTTGTGTTGGTACACCATCAGTAACAATTACAAGCTTTTACCAAGTGTTATGTTTTTGACTGTATGAACTTTGATTTATACTTGAGGTTGATTCTAACCTTAGCTGATTATGTTTACTTTTTTCATGTTAGACCTCTTCAGAGCTCTTATATACAGACTCTTACTAAAAGCTATTTTTTAAACATCAGTTTCACTAATGTCCTGTGTGGTGGTAATCTGTAATAGTTTGTTACGTGCATGATACTGTTTTTTTCCCCCTCTCATGTCTGTTTAAAAGCAAGTGGTAATAAAGGAGAAAACAGTACAGCTGTTCACGTTAATCGTTACTACAGTAAGGACTGTAGTGGGGGGAAGGGGCTAACTAGCTGAGGTTGCCTGTGAAGTTTCCAGGGTAATTCTGACTTTACTATTTAAAAAACACCTTAAAAATTGTGAACTCAGTTGTATAAATAGCATGTTGCATGGTGTTTTGAAATAATTATTCCAAGTCTGTGATTCCTCACAGAAAGTGTTTTAGTTTCAAAGTCCTGTTAATATCTCCACTGATACCCTTTTTGAAATTCATAGAAAGAAAAATTAGATAGGTAATTAGATCCCAAACTATGTCAGACTTTGTAGACAAAATTTAATCTTGACCCTGTTCGAAAGCAGATGGGAAAACAATGTGATGACGAGAGGACAGGTGCAGCACACACATGCCAAACTGCTTCAGAGAGGAAGCAAGCTGCTCTGTTCCTCACCAGCTTCAACACTTGCACTTTTAACCCTCTGTAGCACAGTAAACCCAAGAAATGTAACTTTTGTTTTTAACTTCATGCTTTTATGTTTCAGTGGTACCTCAAGAATCTAAATAAAGGCAGAATCTTCTTGCTTCAGACACTAAATGTGGTTAGGGAAACAGACCCTGTCACAAAGAGCAAACAATTGAAAAAGATAAAAAAGCCCAAATGAACTATGCTAAAGATGTTAGAATATTTTTTAGAAAAATAGTTCATGCTGCATTGTCACATAGATTCTTATGTTTTCTGTTCACGTACGTAAATTCCAAAACTTGAGATTTTGAGATGTGTGCTTTGTCACCTAGTATACTTACTAAGCATCCAGAAGACCAGGTGCCACATCTGCCTAGGATGTTTTGATATTGTTATGTGAATGGTGATTAATTTAATTTTGGTTTTAATTTTGTAGGGAAGAATTAGGGATTGTTTGAAGTCAGATGAGAAGGAATTGTTAGAATAAGCAAAGGTAGAGACAAAAATAAGGGAAAAGGGAAGAGGCAGAATTGGAAGAATGGAGCTAGCCTACGAAAGGATGGCTAAAATGCAGAATTCAGAAGATCAGTATCAATGATAATCTCATGGCAGGAAAAGAGAGCAAACTACAGTGTCAGTACTGACCAAATGGTTTCATTCAAAAATTATGACTCAAAATTAAGTTGGGTCATGTGAGTAAATTGTCCAGTACAAGTTCATCAGCACAGGGATACCTTCCTCCCTTTGCTGCTTCCTGGCTGCTTGCCTACAACATGCCTGATGTTTCCCATTGTCCTTACCACTTTTGTTTGACCACCTGACTATCCTCTGTATACATTGGCTATCTTGTGGTCGGGAGCAGCCACTTAACATTGTCTCATAATTGACTGCTGAGGGGACCAAACAAAATGTGCTGATATTCATCTGATGATGAGTTAAAGGTGTGACTTTGTGGTCACTGTAGTGTTTAGGCCTTCTTGAAAGAATTCTGCAGTTACTGCTGTTACCATACAAAGAGAGTGGAGGGACATAAGAGAAGAGGAGGTTATTGGCCTGGTGTCTAGACAAGTTCTGTAACTTGCAGATTTGGTGTCAGACCCTGGCTTAACTCTCAGACTAAGCTGCTATGCTGTTTTGACTGGAGAGAACAATGCTTGAAAATTACTCTGGACTCTACATCTGGATCATGACTACCTTGTCTTTTACTGAAACTCATCTGTCTGGGCAAAGACAAACTTTCTTTAGTTATAACAAGGAATCGGAGTGTAGAAAAGATCAGTAACTAGTATTAAGCCTGTTGCTTTTAAGCTCCTTCCCATTACTCCCTTGTGATGTGCTGAGGTTGCTGGATCTGTTAAGCTTGGACAATGGTGACTGTTATATAGGAGAAACTCTTGTGTGTTCTTCAATGTGTTGCAGGACTGAACGCGATGCAATTACAGAACCTGGCTGCATTAGCAGCTGCAGCCAGTGCAGCTCAGAACACACCGAGTGGTACCGCTGCACTCACTTCCTCCAGCAGTCCCCTGAGTGTGCTCACCAGCTCAGGTAAGAGACTGCCTGTGCTGTAGTGTGTTATGACATGTGTTGCCTTAGGAGTCATTTCAGGATAGACATCACCTGTTTTGTCTATCCCTTTTTGCCATTTTCATGTTGATTCTTTAATAGATAAACAGTTTTACTAGTAGATGCATTGGCCTTTGTTCAGGGTAGATATCTTTGCCACCAGCAAAGGCTTTTTTACCTGCTGTGTTCCTTCCTCCAAGTGGTCAGATTAATTTCAAGTAAAAAGAATTTTTGAGGTCATAGTGAAGCAGAAAGGTAGGTGACCTCTTTCCAGTCACATTATTACAGTCTCATCACATAGTCAGTTTATCTGTGATTTTAGGCAGGTACTGTGGCAAGTATACCCCGTTCTTCTGGACATGGAGATTGAAGACACCTTAAGCATGAAGTAATGCATTCTGTGCACTAGAACAGTACAGTTTATATTACTCTGGCATTAATGAAGACAAGAATACTATAACTACCACATAGAAGTAGAATAAACAGACCTTTAACACATTTATTGCAAAGCATTTGTCTAGAACTGAGTGTGTGAGTTGCATGTAAAAATCAGTATCTTGTCCTTCTGGGGTTTTTTGTGTTTTGGTTTAGTGTATTTTTTGGGGGGTTTTCTTGGTTTTGTTTTTTTACTTCAGGTTATGTACGTTATTCAGAGAGGCTCGAATGACCAGGTAGTGTTATTTTGCCATCTTATTGTTAAATGTGATCATTAAATGCAACAAACAAGAGAAGAAAAAATAAACTGTGCTTACATCAGACATGCTGAGTTTTTACTGCAAATGAGGATCAGTATTATACTCTGTTATTTCTGAATCCTCACATGGGGAGGGAGACCCTGTATTTTCAGGGTGTTAGTTTTCCAGTATCTACAGCTTGATATGTGGGTTTGGTTTGGGATTTTTTTTTTTTTTCATAAAAAGCAAAATCATGTATCCAGTTTTGTAATTCAGCCCACAGAGCTGATATCCTCACCTGTGATTGTGAGAGACCAAAGGGGATCAGGGGTTGTTTTAAATTTCCACAGGTAGCGTTTTGTATAGCATAGAAGGACAAAGGAGCTGGACTAAGAGATTGTAAAGAGATTACAGGGAAAAGCTGTTTAGAAAACCTTATGTCACATGATTGGGAGTTAAACCACGGGTGCTTTGCAGTTTTCCACTTAGAGAAATCTCCAAGAAAGAAATCAGTTCAAAGACTGTTCTGTTGCTGGACAGGGCTTTTTTATTTTGTGATCTGAAATCCTTAAAGGTTAAAATTTATCTTGACTCCCAGCTATGGTATCCTATTCATTTTTTTAAAAAAAACCCAAATGTTTGGGCTACAAAGAGCTGCAAATATTTATAACCCACTAATGCTGCTTCATCATAGATAAAGCATGAAGGTGAATATATGTGAGAATTTTTCCCATATTTCCTCATGCAGTAGCAGAGCTGGAATTGTCAGGTTACAATTTGCTGTGACTGGCGTGTAAAATTTAAGATGTCTTTGTTGGCACTCTTTTCTACTGACTAGAGTGAGTTTGTTCTCCGATTTGTTGAGGTGAGGAAAGGGACTGGCCAGTTGTGAAGTTCAAATACCAGACATGCTACAAAAGAGAGAAACAGCCTCTTCTCAGAAGTGTACAGTGAAAGGACAAGGGCAATGGACACAAGTGGCAACAGAGAAAATTCTGACTGAATATAAAAGAAAAATAAAATTAATGGTGAGAGTGATTAAGCTCAGGAACTAGATGCCGGAGGGGCTGTGGAATCTTCATAATTTCAGAGATTCAGAATACAATTGGAAAGGACCCTGAACAGTCTGACCTAACTCAGGAGTTAGACCAACTTCGAGCCAGGCCATTAGACTAGATGATTCCCAGAGGTCCCTTTCAACTGAAAGGGATTGTGTGTTGTGTGATTTCTTGGGGATTGTTTTTCTCTCTGTGAATTTTGGCTGTTCCACAGCACTCTGAAGATTCCTTTTCCTTTGAGAGACATATGTCAGGGTTCAGTTTCACTTTTGATCATGCTGGCCTAGGGAGTCTGGCCTTTTAGTATTTAAAGGGAGACTACAGGAAAGGTGGGGAGCGACTTTTGATAAGGGTGTGTAGGGATAGGGCGAGGGGTAACAGTTTTAAACTGAAAGAGGGAAGATTTAGATTAGATACAAGGAGGAAATTCCTCACTGTGAGGGTGGTGAGGCCCTGGCACAGGTTGCCCAGAGAAGCTGTGGCTGCCCCCTCCCTGGAAGGGTTCAAGGCCGGGTTGGACGAGGCTTTGGGCAACTTGGGCTAGTGGAAGGTGTCCCTGCCCATGGCAGGGGGGTTGGAACTAGATGATCTTTAAGGTCCCCTCCAACACAAACCATTCTGTGATTTTTAAGTACCTGCTATGCTGAATCCAAACAACTTTCTGATCATGTCAGTAAATGATAGTGTGACAACATTCAAATAATCATGACGGGTCATCTGAGTTAATATCCTATACAGATGTATCAGTCCGTTCACTCTTCACAGGCTTGTAACATGAAGCAGGCACTGTTGTATTGCTTTTTAAACTTAATTTCAAGTATAATTTTGAAGAGCAGAGATTAGCTTTGTTCAAAATAAGTAAAAGGTTCTGGAGGATATGTGTTCTGTATGTAGTCACTGACATCATACTCTGAAACTGTTTCAGTACTTTTCATTAGAGGTATGAATATGCTTCACCATTTCAACTGTACTTAACTTGAGGGGAAGGAGAAGCCTCACTGTGTACAGTCAGCATTCAGTCTCATGATACTTCCTATAATTTTACAGATTTTTAACTCTTTACTCTGAACTAGCTGTTACCTCTTTAAAGTGTCTTGATTAATACTTATGTGTGCATTCACACTGTATCTATTCATATAGAAGTCTCTTGGACTCCACACATTCAGAACATCCTTCCTGAACCATACCTAGACCTTGAAAACACTCAGAATATAGCTGTTCAGTACCGTGTGTTAGTAAATGCCTGCCTTGTCTGTGGGACATAGAGCAACATCTACTGTGATAACCTCTTAAACCTAACTACAGATGAGATGACTACTGGCTTGACTTCTATCCATCTGTCATCCAAATGTTCACCTGATGCTTATTTGGACATCTCTCCCAGGTTGTCCTCAAATTGCATAATTGGTGGAAAAATCCAGACAATCATTATTCGTAGTTACCCTTTTGATTTTTCTTTCATCTGCACTGATATCTTCTGTGGTTGGGGAACTTAGAAGACCACACAGTGCAGTCTGTGGACTATGGATAGGTTGCGTGTCACAGTGGTTGAACTCAGAGGTGTTCTGTATTGATGTGCTGTCTTCCTACTCATTTCAGGTGATTTTGTTTAGATATTTCCAAGCAGTGTTTTGTGTTAGGATGGAGCAAAACTTTCAACCTTGCAGTGAAACAGCTACTCTTTGGAAGTGAACAGACTACTGCTGCTGCATCCATCTGTAGGTCTGCGTTCTTACATAAATGCATTTAAACTGTTAGCTTGTGAAAGGGACATTCAAGAAAACATTACAGAAGTATTGCGGGATTGGAGGGAGTGTCTTTTCTGCCATCTTTTTCGACTTGGACATCAGTAAGAATTGTCTGCTCCAGAGCAGAATAGAATGGTTGCAAAAGCTGATGTATGTTTCTGTTTCTTCTTTCAAAGACAACCATCAAAGGTCCAGCAAAGACTAGATGACTTTGCTGGACTTAGCATGTCTCCAGCAAAATTGTTTTCAGAGACATCATAGTCCTTCTGCTTTACTGGAACTAATTCTGGTACAGTTCAGTCAGATTTATTGCCTGAGTTTTAATGCTTCTTAGCTCATTGCTTGGATGGTATATGGCTAAATTGGAACAGACTTAACTGTTCCCTCAGTTAACCTACCTCCACAAGTTGGTAGTTTGTGTCCTCATCCAAGTTTCATTCTCTTTCCTAGCTATTGTTTACATACTCAAACTTTCTGAAAACCTTTTCAAGTATTTTCAGCTAATTCTCTTAGAGTGACTAAGTATAACTCAGTAGATAGCTGTAAGAAAACATAACCTCAGTAGCAAGCAAAAAAACCCAAACAACCCGGCTGCACAGAAACAATGTTAAGAATTAGGGATGAGGTAAAGAATATGTATTGCATCCCCATTACCGTGTGCTGTTTTCTGATCTAAAATAATACACAAACCAGAACAACAGAAAGGATGACTAGAACTGTGGGACTCCTTCCCTATTAGGAGCAATGAAGGAACCTGAAAAATAGAAGACTGACATGTGAGGAAGATGATTGAAGCCTACAAATACAGCAGTGTTGTGATGAAGACAAATAGGGAAAGACCAGTCATTAGATATTTCAAGACACGAATTACAGGATATCAAGTGAAGTTGTCAGCTGACAGTTCAAAAATAAAAAGATCTATTTCTTTGCATAGTGCATGATTAAATTGTAGAATTCATGCCTTAGAACATAGTAGAGTCAAACAATTTGGTGTTCAAAATGCACTTAAATTAATGAATGCAAATCTTAACTTTAATAGAAAGACATTGCCCTTGGATGAAAAAATCCTCCATTCACAAATTGCTGCCCTGGTATATAGACTATACCTAGGAAGTATTCCTTTGTAATTGCCGTGTGCTTCTGCTCTACTGTTATTTATCTGCCTTTAGTCATCATCAGAAATGGGGTGCTGACTCAGTACAGCAATTGCTATATGCATATGATACAGAAAATAAACAGTGTCAAATTTTGCTTGGTATTTTCAGTACTGAAGCATTTCTTGTTTTGCTTAAAGAGATTTTTGATAAAGACAGCTAAAATACCTGGGTGGTCAGCTTTTTGTAGTAGTTTAAATGAATTTATTTAAAATCACAACCTTTTTAACGTAGGGAAGGCATCCATTCTCTCTCTTACTTTGCTCTCTAGCTTTGACTTCATTCTTTTTTCCCATAATACTACTATTTTATTGTGGGTTGTGGGTTTTTTTCAGTTCTCATCTGTCAAATGTACTGCTTTTTTGAATTATGCAAACTAGCAATAAAGTGTTGCAGAAACAAGTGATATTCTAAAATTGAGACAGCTGTATAATTTCTGAACACTGGCTTTTATTCAGCCAGCTGTGCTTTTTTTTATACCAACTTGAGGCTTACACTGTAACTTGTTCTCTGTATTTTCCCAACATTTAATATGCTACTCATAGTAGGAGAGGAAGTATCTCCTTTTCTTCAGAGTAAGCATCTTAAAGTATACTTTGGGATATTGTCTTTCAATTTCTGACTCGTCTAGAGAGTTTGTCATTTCCTCTGTCTGTACGAAAACTAAACAGCACTATGAAATGCATCTCCCTGGGTTCTTATGCAGCTTATGTGAGGTACAGCTACTTTTGTTAGGTACAGCTTTTGCTGGGACTTAGAGGCAAGTTTGTTGTATTCCATTTAAATAGTTACCGTATTCCACTGCCATCAGAGACTTCAACACATATATGAAGTGGTGATTGTGATGTGTGTGAATCTGCTTGAAAGATGCTAAAAATTCTTTTTAAAGTGTTTATGGATGTACACAGCATTAACTGAGAATCACAGAAATGTGAAGGAAACAGAAGACATCTGAATTTCTGTTCTTCTGTTACCCACTTTGTCAGACATATATACAAAAGCAGACTACAAGATGCCTCTACAGCATCGGTCTTCATTATCTTTCAATTTGTAGAAGCCATAAATATTTTCCAGTGCATCTTGTGCAGTAAATTCAAACCCTTGCTTAGGTTAATAGCAATTAGCTCTTATTTACCTTCTTCAGTTGTCTAAGTAGCCCACAAACCTGTTAGGAATACAAGTGCTATATAATCATAAAAACACTATTCTTATTTTATCATGTCCATAATCTTTGTAGATGACCTTAATTTGAACTTCTGTTTCTTTTGATATAGCACTTTGCAAACTTTTTCTTGTGGTTTTGATGTCTGTTTCTGTAGAACTAACTACCTGCTGTAGATTTTGGCAGGCCATGTAATCTGTTAGTCTTCTAGTTACTGTATCTGTAGACTTCTCTTACTGAGTAAACATGTTTAAAGATGTTAGTGGCACAGTCAGCATAGGATAGCCTGTATTTTGGATGTACATTCCAAGACGTTTCTTGGCCTTAGCCCCAGCGGCTGCAGCAGGATTTTTAATGGAAAATTATTTCATGTGTCAGAATAATCTGGGCATCTGCTGTTCCTGTTCTGGCAGTATGGGGAAACCATATGTGCAGTTTGACTGGAGCTTTCTTTATGTCCTTAGTATCGGGTCTTTTTCACCTTGTGTGATGTTACAAGGATAGATGTTAATATATAGCAAGTGATTTTTAGTAGTCAACAGGGAACAGGCGTTGCTGCTGGTCACCTTATGTGGAGGTACAAAGTTTAGCTAACATTTGTATGTTGTGTGAATCTTAGGCATCTTACACTTAATGAAGCCATTATTGCTAAAAGGTTAGACGTTATGATGAAACAGAAGTTTTTAAAACATGTTGGAAGGGATTAGAAGATGTAAACAGTATGATCAATCAAGTTGTGTGGGTTTGGGTGGGGGGGTTTTTTGATGTAGTGGTGCTGTGTTGCCTTGATCGGTTCCTCACTAGCCTTTTCTACAGAAATGACTTAATGAAGAAGTTGAATTATCAAGACCAAAAAATATTGCTAGAAGTTTAATTATCTTATTTTAATAGCAGGTTCCTCACCTAGCTCCAGTAGCAGCTCCTCTGTTAATCCAATGGCTTCTCTTGGAGCATTGCAGACTCTGGCAGGGGCTACAGCAGGCCTCAACGTTAGCTCTTTAGCAGGTGAGCTACCTGTTGTGGTGGGTGGGGGGAATGGCTGGTTATCATTCCTCAGACTGTGCTAGTTCTTGGGAGGGGAGTTTCTGCTCCTTGCTTTTTGTAATAGTGTGGAGTATTTGAAAGGTAATTGGTCTGGCTTAGTGGAAATACACAGTCACCTTTATTTCCTCTTTCTTTTCCAGGAATGGCAGCCTTAAATGGAGGACTTGGCAGTGGTGGTCTCTCAAATGGGACAGGTAGCACAATGGAAGCCCTCACACAGGCTTATTCTGGAATCCAACAGTATGCTGCTGCTGCTTTGCCCACACTCTATAACCAGAGTCTCCTAACACAACAGAGTATCGGTGCAGCAGGAAGTCAGAAAGAAGGTAGGCAGAAATTTGTACAAAGAACTTGAGAGGTGTTTCCAAAGGGCAAGCTCAGCCCTTGCAGGTAGCTTATCCGCAGAACTCTTGACTGGCGGCATTTTTAGAATCCTGGAGTTACTGAAGATGAAGAAGGAAAGAGACCTGTGAGGTCTCTTTGTTAAGGGCTGTCCAGAGTAGGTTTTGTACAAGAGCTTTCTCCAGGATTTGTCTAGTCTTTAGTGCTTAGTAATCATACTCTTCCATTTTCTCAGAGGATAGGAGAGCATGAGTCTGCAGCCTGATACATCTCACTGTCAGAGAATCAGTTGTGGTTTTGTTAATTTTGTTTTCTTGGTCCTTCACCTCTTCCCACATACTTTTAATGATAATCTCTTCACTCTTCAGATTCAGAATCAATTTAACATGTAGTATAAAGAAATGAAGAATGTAGGAGTAAGTTTTCAGCAGGATGTAGGATGATGATTAGGAAAGAATCTGTCAGATTACAAGTAATGCAATTACTTGTATTTTGCATTGAGATTTACTTTGTTTCTTTGGGCTGCAAGCTTTGCGTAGCCATTTTTGTTGTAGTCGGCATCTGGGCTCAAACTTACTGTTCAGCTTTCATTACAGCAAAGGTCTGTGATCCAGTTTTGGTACAATGTGGAAATTACAAGCAAAAATGGTGAGAAAGAGCTAGAATTATTTGAATGATCAATCTCCAAAAAAAGGGCATGCTGATTTATTCTGGAATCAAGTACTCTACAGAAATGCAAACAGCAGTTTCATTGTTTAATCTAGAAAATTTGGCTTGAATGGCTTTTTCACGGTTTTTTTTCCTTTTCTTTTGTGAAATGGGCCTATGTTATCTGTGCTTTCCTGAGTTTATATTCGTACTTGTTGTTTGAAGGTCCAGAGGGAGCCAATCTGTTTATCTACCATCTCCCCCAGGAGTTTGGGGATCAGGATCTGCTGCAGATGTTCATGCCATTTGGAAATGTCGTCTCTGCCAAGGTTTTCATTGACAAGCAGACCAATCTAAGCAAGTGTTTTGGTATGTTGGGTCTAATCATTACCTGTAGAAAGGTGGCTTCTTTCTCTTTTTCCAGTATATTGTTTAGACTAGCTTTTAAGTCAGTTGGTGACTCTTTCTCTATATTGCTAAAAAAATTAAATTAAATCAATCCCAACTATTCCAGCAATGAACTGTATTTTCCTGATTTTCATTGTGAATTTCTGCTTTTCCTGATTTTGTACTATTATGCCTCATTATACTGTTTTGGCCCTAGATAATTCACTACGATTTGTGTTTGCAGACTATAATCATGGTATAGTTTCTCCTCTTCCCTCTTTCTGTCTTTTCACTGATAGTTTACACTGCTGTATATGCTACTTACTAAATTACCATTATGAATGATTTATATTAATATTTTAATATACAATTATGTGTACCATATAGTACAGGAGCATTTGACTCTAATGTTCTGTAAATGCTCTGAAGGCAATTTTTAAAGCTTCCTCCTAAGTCTTGAAAACTTTGTAATAGTAAAACAAATTCAGCTGTTATTTACTACCTAACTTTGGTTGCATCTCTTACACTAATTTTGCTCTGCTAATTGTGTATTTAGATGAGGCACATAAGGGTGGGAAGTGTATCCTAAAACTGTAAATCAACCTGTCATGTTGCTCTTACTATCCAAATAGATTATCTTCAGTTAACTGCTGAAGTCTGTGATGTCAATAGAACAAAGAACTTATTCTTCCTTAGCTTGTATAGTAGGAGGCTGTGCAGGTGGACTGAAAGAGTTATGGTTTTATTTTCCTCACTTTGAAACCCCAGTGCAAGCAGTTGTAGGGGTTCTGTAGTGCTGTAAGATCTTGTGACTATTTTGATAGGTGGAGATTTCTTGTGATGGAATAGGAGAGGTGAGCCTTTCGCTGTGGTTTAGATAGCTTTGTGCCTACATAAGAGACTGTATTTTTTTAGTATTTGGGACAAAACATGTGGACAATCTGATGCTTTGTGAGAACACAAAAATATGCTGATCATCAAGCTGTAACACCGGCATAGTGAATGACCTCCCCAGGTAGTGATGCCAGCCATTGACTGGAGTTACTTCAAATGGGTTCCTTCAAAACCCTGCAGAAGGCTATTTTGAGGATTCTCTTTCCCTGGAATGATACACAGCTTTTCATTGGTGAGAAACCTGAACGTAATAGTGTTGTACAAGTGCCACACTGCCTTGACAGCTACTTCACTACAAATAAATCTACTCTCATAATGCCAAGAGGGTGATTTCAGTCTTGTATCTTTTAATGAGCTTTCATATATAGATTAACGTTTTCCAGGTTTGGTTTTTTCCCAGGAATGAGTTCTTACAAAACAAACAACAGTACTCATTTTTTGTTGGAAGACTAGAAAATGTTATTTTAATTTCCTGAGCTTTGTATATCTTTTGGCCAAAGTTCCATAGGTCAGAAAGCAATGCTTTGTCTGAGAGCCCTTAGCAAGAAGGTTTTATGAACAGTTGTGAGCTGCTGAAATGGCATTTCATGCAAGCCTCTCTGACCTTGTGAGTACCTGCATTGCGAACTGTGAGTAGCTGTTCTGGACAGCTTTGGCATGGTGTAATTATGTATTTTCCTTTCTTCAGGTTTTGTAAGTTACGACAATCCTGTCTCTGCACAGGCTGCCATTCAGTCAATGAACGGCTTTCAGATTGGCATGAAGCGTCTGAAAGTACAGCTCAAGCGCTCTAAGAATGACAGCAAGCCATACTGAGCACCCCTCCCCTCCGGGACTGGAGTGAGAAGGATCTTCTGGTAAGTTGGAGAGGAGCGCACTTAGTGATTTGAAGCCCTAAGGCTGTGTTTTTACAGTCCTGGAAGCTGATCCATGCCTTCTATCTGGCACATCTTCCCCTGAAGACTCGGCTGCAGCCTCTGCTGAGAATCCCACTTCGGATGGAGGACAAGTTTGTGCTTTTGTTTCCAGTGTTTTACTTTGGAGTTTAGGTGCCATATCTCTGAGGTTTTGTTTTGGTTTTTTTTGTTTTGTTTTGTTTTTTTTCCTTATTTGAAGTTTGCTGTGTTTGTAACCAGTGTGTGTTGAGAAGGACCAATGCCAGCTCCTTGGGGGTGGGGAGGCAAGGTTAAAGGGAGCAGCAGAAACTGACACCACACTGCCTTGGGGTAGAGAGAAAAAGGGGAAGCAGAACTGACACCACACTGCCATGGCAGAGAGGAGAAGGAAAAGCAGAAATAGCACAGAACAGCTGATGAAAACAAAGATGGGGAAGGAAAACCGAGTCCATCCAAGTTTGGGTGAGCAAAGAACCGACTCCATGTAGCCTTTGTCATGCCCCATCCACTCTTGGAAATTTCCTTAACTGTGTGCCATGGTGGGGCTTTAGTAAATCATATCTAAAGCAAGAGACAGGCTACAAGGGTGAACACATTAACAAGCCAAAGGAAAACTGCAGTGATTTTTTTTGCTGTATATAAAGTAGTGTTCATGTAGCACTGTGAATGTACCCAGCACTTTATAAAATTATTAGATAATGTCCCTGCCCAGAAAATTTCACTGTCCATATTAATATGAATATTAATGAGATGCAGTGAATTTCTCCATATTTAAGAAAACTTAGCCTATGTACTTTATCTAGGTTTTGTAGAAAATTATAGAGATAGACACTTTAGTCAGGATGAATACATCTGGGGCTGGAAACAAGAAACTTTTGATCCCTGGTAATCCGAAGAATTTTTTTGACAATTTTTCTTAACTGTTCATCATGTTTCCCGTTTCTGTGGGATAATGTCCTTTTTGCAGAGTATTACTTTGAATTCATTCTGATAAACATAACGTAAGTGCTGTTTGTTTCTCTATTAAAATGCCTGTTAAACTGAGACGCAAAGCCCAGAGTTAACCCTAACGCAGCTCTTGAGGCTCCTGTTTCATACATGTTCTCACAGGATTTGATTTCTCAGTCTTAACTCTGTTGCAAAGATAACATCCTGGTTTTTATTTAAAAAAAAAAACAAACAAACAAAACACAGCTGAAAAAACCCAATTGGTGCAGTGATTTGGTTTAGTAGTAAAGTGTTTCTTTGTACTGCAGTTTTCCTTTAAGGTGGTGTATATCAGTGCAAAACAGGCTAACACAGGAGCTGTGGAACCAGAGCAAATCATTGAGCCATCCAGTCTTATTCTGCCTTTTTGGTACTAGCTGTTACCTTCTGTACTGAAGGAAAATTCAACACACCCCTTCAATGAACACACACTTTCTGCACACTTGTGAAATTGCTAATGCGTTGCTAAGGGCCTTTGTTATACACTGGTTTTAGGGGGCTCAAAGGACTTTTGACACTCTGGCCTGAGTTGTTTTAATAAATCAGAGTCGAGTCCCATTGTATAACCACCAAAATCTGCCTCTGTCACAAGAGGAAGTTTACAATTTCTGTGCATCTTTTAACAGAAGTTCCATTTACCTCATATTTTCTCCATTTCCTAGTTTTCTTTGTATTCCTGGTTTCTGATGCTGTTTCCCAGGCCACCAGCTAACACTGCAATCTGGGAGCCAGCCGCTAAATAAGAAGTGTGGGTCAGACACAGGGTTGGGACTTTCTGTTCTGCTCCAGAAGGAGGAGCACTAAACCCGTCAAACCTGAGACGACTTTCAGAATCCACACTTATGCGCGGTGGTCTGTTTGGAATGTCAGGCATTCCTAGGGACTGGGTCCCCTGGGATCTCTAACCTCAACAGTACAAGGCCTGACCCATAGCATCCAAGAAGAGCCCTTTCCATTCTGAAATTGAAAATGAAACAGTTACTTGGTGCCAGTCTGTCTGTATTGATGGCAGACAGGTAAATCTATCAGTATTATTCAAGTCATTTTGTGGTGGCAAAGGTTCAAAGGCCAGATTGCCAAATTTCCCAGTTACGCTGGCATGTGGTACCCTTCTGTGTTAATTATTTGAATCTCTCTAGAAACGTAAACATACACTTAAGTGAACCATGTACACTTGAATTCTGCACGATGGGAAAGATGTGTCCTGGTTTTCTGAGAAAAGAGTGTTGGAGTGTGAAGGCCTCCAGGGTGATAATGGGAATTTTTTTTTTTTATAAATAATATACTTTTCAAAAAAAGTTTAAAAAAAAAAACCAAGAACACCAAAAAAAAAACCCCACATAGTTGGGAGCAACTGCTCCAAGTGCAACCTGCTGTAACCAAGAATGTTGTTTCTATTTTTATAGAAGTTTTATACCGCTCCAGGGTGGAGAATATTTATTACCTAAATTATTTCACTGGAAAAAAAGGCCAGGGTTTTGTAGAATCCTGAATGTGATTGTTTTACACACATAATGATGTGCATGATTGAAACTACTGATTTTCAGTGGCCTGTTGGCAGCCCAACAACTGCTAAATGGGGAAGACGAACGCTGTGAACCAGTGGAGGAGAGCACTGTGCTCTGGGGTCTCTACAGTCACTCTTACCTTCTTTGCACCCTACCCCACTGTACTATCCGAGACCTTTGTCCTGTTTTTCTTTTATCCTGATGCTCTGGCCTCTTTATTAGTCATTTCAGTTGCCCAAAATTAGTTATTTTAGTTTCTGCATCCTATAGTGTGTCCTCAGTACTGTAACTTACGGATCAAGCTTGGCATCATTGCAAATAGGTGCAACTCCTCTTGACTTCAGGAGATTTCACCAGTTCACACTGTGGCTTAGTTTGATCAGTGACTCCTCCCAGACATAATTACCTTAAGACACCTAACTTGGGCTAGCTCTTGTGCCTTACTGGCATAACTACAAGTATTGCCAAAAAGAAAAAGAAAAAAAATCTATGCAGGTTAAATTTTAAAAGATGTGATCCTCAGATGGTTTGAATCAATGCAGTTCTGCTCTCTGCAGTAGAGCTGCATCAGTTTTCACCAGCTGAAGATGTTGCCCTTTTTGTGTGTTTGTTTCAGATTTCCCTTTCTTGGTGTATCAATGTATATGTTGCCAAAGTTAATAAATGTATCGAGTTTGTGAGTTGGGCAGATATTTTCTGATAACAGAACCGATCAGATAAAGTCAACATTTCTGTGTCTGTTTAGTGGCTGCCACTGACTCTGGAGATTTAGGCTCTTCTTGCCTTCCAGTCTTAAGCCAGTTTTCTTCCTCACGGCAGGAAAGTCTGGGATTTTGGGGACTTGGAGCTTTTAAATTTTATTTTCTTTTTAATTCCTGTCATGCTCTCATTCAAGTGCAAATCAAATCGGTGTCAAATGCTTTATTTGCTGGATAGTAGGATAAGAGTTGAGTGAGTTCAAATAAACTGCAGAAGGATTGGCTTAAGTAGCCATATGGACACAAAGTATTCTGCTCATAAACCAAAGAATCTGAATTTTCTACAACAAAAACTACAACAGTAGCACTTCTGAAGAAATGAAATTCCATATTGTATGTGCCATCAGGAGGTACTCTACATATTTTTACAAACAAGATGGAAATGGTCTACTTCATAGATTATTATTTTTTCTCGCAAGACATTTGATTTTACTAGATATGCCACAATAACATGAAAGTATTATGAACAGTTGAAGTCTTAGGCTGGTGCTACTTAGTATCAAGTATGATAGTAAAAGAAGTCATAGATTCTTCAGCCCCCTAGATAATTAACAGTCCAAAATAGGATATCTTTTTGTAGTTCACTTTTTTTCTTCCAGTACTACAAAACTTGCATTATTAGAAAATGCCTTTGATAATAGTGATTAAATTTTAATCCTAAACAGAATGAGGATTGGAATTTTTTAAAAGTATCTGAGACCATGATGGTGAATATCTCTTCATATTTAATGATGAGTCAGTTTTCTAGCTGTGGGTGCTACTATCTGGAAAATAAGCACCTCAGAAAATTTCACACTGGCATATATATCTATAAGGAAAAAGCTACTAAATGTCACAGAGCATGATATATTCTGCTTGCATGATAAAATTAACTGAAGTGTTCTTGTTAATGATTGGTTGTCAGTAAGGGAAAAACAGCCAAGCAGAATTAAGTTGTTCCTGTTTCATTTGGAAATATCTAAAAGCGACCTGGATAAAGCAAATTTTAAATGAAGGGTGCAACTATGGACATGTAAAATGATTTGCGAGCTTCTTGTTGCACACATTTAAACATAAGGATGTTATATATCCCTGAGCATGCCTACCACAAAATGTAAAACACAGAAGGCAGAATTATCACAGTTCTGAGAATGAAACAAGGACAAACTGGAATAACCTTCCTCAAGTCATTATGTTCTTAGCCAGCATCTCATGGCTCTGTTCTTGCAGGCCAGTCCTTCCTCAGGGCTTTAATGAAACTTAAGTCTTTCCCCTCAAAATTGCCGAGTGAAATATTTGAAAAAATCTCTTATCAAGAAACCACCAAACAAATCATACAGAGAATTTCTATGGTGCATGCTTAGATGTCACTTGATTTCATGCCTTTTGTTTCTCATGCTTCAGTTCATGATAAATTTGCCTTTCTGGTTTAGGACTGAAAACTTACAGCTACCTGCAAACTATCTAGAGTATTTCCAGACTACAGAAATAACTGCAAGAGTTGCATTGTACTCTACTGCAGTTGGTTTAAACTCAATACTAAGTCCTTTCCCCGAATTGGAAAGTATGAAGAGCAAACTAATCTCAGCAGTTCTAGTAAGTGGAGTGTTACAGGTTTAGTGGACAACGTGCTTCTTTTTTCTGAACTAAATGCAACATTTGCTACTCTCAAACATGCTATAAATGCTGTAAGACAGTACACAAATCTCACCTTGCTCTAGTCTCTAACCAGCAGCTTTGAGATGTGCTGAACAGCACGGCCACAAACAGGAGATCAAGGGAGGTCAGCTCGGGGGAGGGAAGAAGAAAAAAAGAAGAAACTTGCTTCCTCTCTCCCGTACCTCCCACATTCTTCACAAAATGTTCATTGTCTCCTGCAGCTCACAAACTGAGGGGAGGAAACAAAGGCATTTATATTTAATATAAGAATTATTTCATTTATCAACTCTTCAAGAAAGCTTCAGGAAACAATTTTTTTTTATTTTTTTTTTCTACACATCAAACTGGCAACAGTGACTGTAGAGCTTCTCAGAGCCCAGAATCCCCTCCTCATGAAGTCAGGGAGCTGTGAGCTGTTTATATAACAGGCTGGGAATGGAAAATCCCTGTGCAGGTCTAATGGTATGAAAAGTGCTCAGCTAGGACAAGTCTTAACTTGCAGTCAAGTCTTAAGGAATTCTTCTCTAATGTGTGGAGTTCTTGTCTTGTATAATTTTTTTTTCCCCTGTTCCAAATCACCCACTCCCAGTTTCATGGGCTCCTAGGGAATGAGAAGGGACAGTAGCTGAAGGAAAGAACATGGATTTCCTGGGCTACCACTGCCTAAGAACTTCCCATGTTAGGATGCAAGAAAAGTCTCAGCCGTCAAACCACCTGTGAATCCCTTGTGTCCTCTGTCTTGTCTCTCACGGTCTCAGTCTCTGTGGGCAAATGTTAGCCCTAGAGCCATATTTTTTGGAGTCGGTCTCCTGGGGAGGGAGCTTGCTCTGTTCTTCTCCTAAACAGAGCTAGTGGAGACACCGGGCACTGGTCAAGGTGAATGCATGCTAATCAGTGTGTCACTAGGCTGCTGGAGTGCTCCACAGACCGGGTGTTGAGAGGGAAATCCAAGCCTCTGCTTCCATTTGGTTTCTGGCAGTTTGATGTTTACTTGGTGTCCTTCATGTACTTTGACTTTTACTTGTCCATCGTTGGCATGTGCTGCCCTTCCCTGTCAACTCCCTTCCCCAGGAGTTTTCATTGTACAGTGCCCATTCTTGTTCTCTCTCTCCGTGTTTGGATGTACTGCTCTGTGTAACTCAGTGGGTCTCCCTCTTTCTGGTTTGTTTTTTTTCTAGATTCCTGCCGTTTGTTCATCGTTGTGCCTAAAGCATGTCGATGTGGCGTTCAAGTACATCGTCCAAATCCTTGTCTCTTCAGCTTCTCTGATGCTTGAACTCTCACCTTTGACCTTGTGTTGACCTTTGATGCTGATGTGTATTTTTATTATGTTTGTTTCTTTCTTTTTTTTTTTTTTTGTGGGTTGTTTTTTTTTTTTGTGCTGCCAAATTGGTTTTGCTAGAAAGACTGCTGAAGGGGAATATTTAAACTTGCATTTGAATATAAAAGAATTTCTATTTTTCTAGACCTTCGTAAGATAACCACTTGATTTTGTGAATCTGATTCTTTGTAATTGTCTTCAGAGCAGCCTTGCTAGCATACCTTGTGGAGTATTTGTATTTCTGTGAACATACAGCCAATCACTTTCTAGGCTTAGTTTTTTCTGTGTGCTTAGTTTTAAAAACACAGTTTCGAAGAAAAAGTCAGTTATACGGTGTGACTCAATCTTTCAGGAGACTTCCTAGTCACATTTTGCTGATCTGGTTTCTGTGCTTGAGGAGACGGCATGTGTTTTTATGAGTTCAAACTTGTGACTTGAGTGGCATCAGCAGAAAACACTTGAACTACATTTTCTTCCGATTGTAGCTACATTTTTGCCCTGACATTTATTGATTTTTTTTAATTATTATTTTTATTTTTTCCCCTGCTTCCCTGTGTGATTATCAGTCTGCAGTGAAAATTTTGATCAAAGTTGATGTTGTATTTTGTTAAGCTCCAGCGTGCTTGGTTTTTTTGTAACTACAATCTCCTCAGCAAAATGTGATGTTTTTGTTTTAATCTTTCAAACTAAGATAGTGCCCAGAAATGTTTTGCATGTTTCCTGCTGTTTTCTTCACGCCCTCGTATATATCACCTTCTTCACCTCTCTGTTTTCTATAGTTTGTGCAAAAACTGAGCAATTTAATGGGTTTCAAAGGTATCCTTTAAATTGGTGTTTTTGGTATGACAAATACCTGATCAGAAGCCACCTGAGGGCATCTACCTGTGCACTTAGACTGTCTGCCTGACAGAGCACCTGGACCTTGTGCCACCTCCAGTGCTGTCCGAGGCTCCCAGGGGCTTGGCTGACTCTTCTGTAGTGGAAGTTCTGGTGGAAGGGGATAGCTGGGGTGCAGGAAAGAGGGGAAACTTCGCAATATTTCTGTTTCCAGAGTTATCTGAAGCTCGGGCTCCTTTGACACACTCTTTATGAGCATTTTGTATAAATCAGGGCACATTTTTGTGAAGTCCAGCCCCAGTTTAATACCAGACTTTGGTGGTAGGATTCTGGAATGATCTAGATTAGGTCTCGAAACTTAAGTGTTTGAAATATCCCAGAGAAAGCATTTGTAAACCTGGTCCTACAACTGCTGGCTCTTTTCCCAAGTGACAAGCACAATACAACAGCCTCTGAAGCTGTTACCTGAACAGGGTACCATCCTCAGCTCTCTTCTCAAGGGCCTTAGCTGGGGAATCTCTACGGAGATTTTTTAGTTTTTGTTTAGTTTTTAATTGGGTAATGAGCTAAGCAGTTTTTCTGGCTTGCAGGGTGAACTAGAACAGGTTACTGCTTTCTGGGTAGCAGGCTTCCCCCTATGCTACATACCATCTGCACGGGTAGAAACGAGTGTAGCTTCTAGATGAAGGCACCTGAAGATGTGTGCTGTGATGAAGTTTCAGTCAGGAGAAGCAAGCTAGTGTAGGTATCTTAACAGTAGAAAATAATGCAAAATGAAATCCCAGGAGAAGGGGTTCTGCTGAGAAAACATTGTGTTGATTGGATAGAAATCTCGCTTCTGTCCAGTGTTTGGGATAATGCAAAGATGTAAAAGGACTTTTTTTTTTTTTTCTATCCTATTCCTGAGTTGGCTGAGGATTCTCAATAGATATTGGCTAGACTTGTGTAGACAGTCCTTAATCTGCTTGTAAGGCAGAACATGTTTGGGTATGGTACATATACCTGGGAGTGAAGCGTGAGGCTGGATGAAAAATGGATAGAGACTTGTTTATTTGGGAGACAAGGTTGTGGGCTGGCTGCTGTTAGTCCCACAGTCTGAATGCACAGGGCTGCGTGTCGGTGGGGAGCACTGATACCCTGCAGTGTACCGAGTAACTGCCAAGACGTTTCTATACATGTGCATCTGGTTCCATAAGGAACTTTGGGGAAACCTGTGGAAAAATATCTGAAGAAAACCAAAATGCCAAATGTTGGATGTTTCTTTCCTTTCTTCTTTCCTTTTCTTCCTTTGGTTGTTGTAATTGTTCTGTGGTGGTTTTAATGGGTTTGAGACAGTGGAGCAGCAGCTGCCTTTCTGATTTTTTGGCTGCTTTTTGTGAATAATTTAAAAAGAAAATTTACATTTTGGAGACAAACCTGTGGGCTTTTTTATTGGTACAAACATTGTATTTAACACTAGGGGTTTTGTACAGTTTTTTGCCTTTTCTACTAGAAAACAATGTAAAGTGATTCACAATGTGACGAGAAAACAAATTGCCACTATGACCAAATGTAGAGTCTGTTCTGCAGTAACGGGATTTAATCAACTCAAAGTCGTGGTTCAGTCGTAGAAATGCTTTTCTTTACCTTGTTTGAGCTGTTCCTTTTTTTCTTGTTTTGATTTGCAAAACAAAATGTCTTTTTGTGTGAAATTGTGTTGTACTCTGTAGAGAATTACAGATTTTACTTTAATGGTTTAAAAAGCAGAGGAGCACGTGTTGCTTTTCTGATCTGATCGCAGAGTTTGTGTAGTGGATTTAAAAATGAAAAGATTTGTTACAAGTTTGGAACGAGCGAGTATGTGTTAAAGGAATTTTCTTCCTTTTGTGTGTGTGTGTTTTTTTCTTTTTGTCCCAAAGGGCAACTTAAAGCTGTTTTAATTGCACAGACACACCGACAACAAGTCATTTTGTATATGCCAAGTGTGGTACCTTCCTTTGTTTATTTGCTATTAAACTGTTTGAGAAGAGTCCTTGTGTGTTGTATTTGTGTCTTAAACTTGAGGTTCTTTTTGGGTCTGGATGTGGGAAGATGAGGAGAGAGATGAGAAAACTCTGTTCCAGTTTCTTAGCTGTGAGCCACAAAACTTTTCATGGCCCAAGAACACTTGTTCTGGATGTAAAGTATAGCCCTGGATTTTTACCTCTGTGTAGATGAGCTACTTTGAGTAGAAATGGAAAATGATTTTCGGTTGTTAAGCCTCCATTTTGTATCATTTGGCAGTCAAGCCCCCTTTAGGCATTAGATAGAGGAAAAACTGAGAATCTTGCAGAGTGCAATATGTGATACACTGGGGAGTGATGTGTAGGCATATCCAGCCTCACAGAACTAGTGCTGCATAGCCACTTGCCTGTGCATGCACTGTGCTTCATGGTGTTCTGTGGGCTAAATAACATCGGCATAACACCAGACTTTAGCTATATGGGAACAGCATGTGTGCGTGGTGGCGTGTGGGATTAGACAGGCACCAGCTCATACCGCTCCTACGAGCCCCATACCCACTGCTGTCTCCACAACCCTTCCAGGATCACAGCCAAGCTTGCTGAACCTATCCTGATTCTGCAGCGTGAAGGTATCTGTGGTCCCCAGTGTTCCTGGTCCTTGAAATACTGCCCAGAAAAAAACTCCAAATGGGTTGGGATTACTTACTAGCTCAGGCTTTGTGATAAGTGAAAATTAACCCGCTTTGCTTTTAGAACTACGATATGTCAATCATTTGAAATAAATGAGTTGTAAAAAGAGAAATATTTGGCATAGGCAAAATTCGTTTAAAAACTTGCCACAGGTTTTAACATTAATATCGCCCCTCAGAAGGCAAGTACCACGATGGCCATGACTCTGCCACATTTCTGAAAACTCAGTGACATTACTTCTTCCTTCTGCTGTCTTGCATCTCAGAGACTGCAAGCATTTTCAGGGCAGCTGTGTTTCTCCGTGTCCTTTTCCTCTGTTATCTGGCATACTCTGTTTCACCCCATCACTTCCTACATGACTGTGAATCTGAGAGCACTTGCAAGCATCAGGATTGGGTGCTGCATTCCTTTCCCTGCAGCACACCAACTGCGAAGCAAGGCACTGAGCCACCTGTTGCAGAGTGTGCTGGGATCCCTGCAGTTAATTTGCAGCTGTTGGGAAGGGAGGCCGGGGAGATTTCAGTTCAGATATGTCTGAGGTGAAGCATGGAGAGAAACAATTGAATCAAAAATGTTTATTGAGGCAGGATGGAAGATTCCTGCTTGTGCAGAAGTTGGCTTGCCTCCTATTAAGCAGTCAGAATTCCATCAGTTGCATCTTACGGAAGTAATACTAGATCACTCAGCACAGGTGGCTAATTTTTTTAAGGTTTTTTCTTCCATTTAAAAGGCCCCCACCAATCAGTAGACAATTAAAATAAGAGCCAGCGTATTAGTCTCTGAAAATAACCAGCATTTCACATGGTTCTTATATTTATCAATATCAGTAGGAAACACACAAACCTGTAGATTAAGTCCTGATGTTGAATGTTTTAGGATAAATTTTTTTTCTTCTCACATCCTCCTCCACCTTTCACTACTTGTTTTGACTCCAGTCTTCCTGACTTTACCAGCCACGTTCTGCTGTCTTCATATGGCCAGGAGCCACCAGGGACACATTATGAAGAGCAATGGGGAGGAGGACAAGCAGCTCAGTGTGGTCACTCTGAAGAAGTGACTGCGCGTTTAGCTACACTGCATGTGTGGCTCCACTGCACGACAGGTGAGATTTCCCTAATTTGGCATTTCCGTGCACCTTGCAGGCTTACTTATTTGCAGTTCCTGAGAAGAAACTGTGGATCGCTTACTGCAGAAGCCATACCTGAATCTTGTATGAGTTAGAGCTATCTTGAGCCAGAGGCTGATGATCCCTCTGCCATTACTTTCTGGGAGCAGCCCAGGTAGTCAAGTGTCTCGGTGATTCTACCCAGTCACCCTCATTTAGACAGCTACACTGGGCTCAGAGTGGTGTGTTCCATGTCAGAGTATGTTTGTTTTTTGAAAATGACCAACTTGAGCTTGATGGAGCTAGCCCTTATTTTACTAGGAAAAGTTTTTATCTCTGTGGGTGAATTGAGTTGATTCTTAAGAGACTAAGCTTTGTTTCACAGAAGGACTCAAAAGCAAGGAGGTACAGTGTGATCAACAAAATGCAGGACAGATCATTTCCCTCCTGTTAGATAGGTTTTGTCAGACTGCAAGGCATCCTCTTCTCGTTTAGCCTATTCTTTGTGGGATATGAGAGTGAATATTGAGGGGAGCAGTGCTTTGGTGAAGTACTCCAAAAGCATCAGGATGAGTTTGAGTGACAGGCAGGTTACTTGTGGAAGGTTAATTTTGCATAGTCTGCTCCAGCAAAGAATGATGCGGTTTTTCTTTTCCCCCTTCTTGAGTCCTGGCTTGACTCTTTTACGTAGCAGACTCCATTGGTTGTTGGTGCTGACCTCTTAGCTTCTTCAGGTCCAGAAATCTGATGGCCTCACCATTATCAGTGTTTTCCATCGGGATTGGTCTTCCGCATCTTGTGTCCATTCCACCACCCACCTCCAGAGACACAGAAGAGTTACTGCAGGGAGGAGAGACTTTTAAATTCTGAATCAGACTTTTACGGAAGCCCAAAAATCTATAAAGTACCTAGATGATAATTATAACAGTGCTGCTGAAGTGATTTTTGTACGTCAACCACCTGTGCCTCAGCATTACTTTTTGTCAGCCTTATGCAGATTTTTTTTCCAGTTTCTACTACCGAAGTTTGAGAGTGCACGGAGTCTAGGCTGAAACATCAGCTAGCACGTTACCACTCTGAAAAACAATGCTAAATTAAATAATGCAAATATCATGGAGTATATGAGCTTCCAAAAGAGAAACAGGTTGACTGTAGCAAGACTTTCCTACCATTTAAAATGCTTTTCTCTTAAAAAAAAATTTCTGAGATTTTTGATAAAGGCATGAATGGAATTTCTTGAGATCATGACTGCTATGATGTAAAGCCTCTGGGTAGACTGTGTTTCCTTATTCTTTTGTGTCCTGCTTTTCTTAGGGATATTACCTTAGGAAGGTTCCCTTGGGTTTGTGTTTCCCTAGGCAGCCATGACATGGGCTGAGATGGTCCAACGGGTGGCCCGTGAGATGACTGTGTTGATACTTAGCTCTGCTTGGGGAATAACTACCACCGAATTCATAAAGAGGCAGGGAGGCAGCTGGAGACATGCCTGCTTCTGCACATGGGTCTGTTGTTAAAACTCAATTGCCCTTTTCTTCTCTTTGGCCTGTAAAAGGATCTCAAAGCATGTGTCTGGGACTTATGTATCTGAAAAGCATTATGAGTATCTGGAGGCATTCCTCCCCCCTGCCCCCCCCCGGTTTGGTGTCTCTTATGAAGGACAGGGTAAATCTATAGAGGAACAAGACTGGGCCCATTAAAAATGCAGCACATCAGTGGGGGTATGAAACCTGATTCCTAGAGGAACCAGTCTAACTTTTTCAAAGGTGCGTAGGAGGGATAAAGCTATCTTCTAATTGGGCCAACAATTCTCTTATGCCATCAGAAGATGCAGAAAACTTGCTTTGGGTTGTTATTATTATCATTCATCATAAAAGATCAGCAAGTTCTAGATGCAGAACTTCAGCAGTGCCTTTGACAACTTCTGTTGAAAAACTCTTGGAGGACTGTCACAAGATATCCAATGTCAGTGAGCAACAAGTCAGTCATGAACAAAGTTTTTCAGGATGGTTAGCTTCTTGTTGTCCCTGAAATTAAAAAGCCAGTGCCATATTTGCAGCAAATCTGTGCCAGAGCTGACCTTTGTCCACAGCAACAGTCCATATTGCCACTGAGGCCCTCAAAAAGGGAGTGGAAATGTACCTGGCAAAGTATCAGGCACATTGTTGCAGGTATAATAGTGCACGTGTGCACATGCTAGAGCCTTCTAGTTCATGCCTTACTTTTTACGGCATGTATTGTTGCTAAGGCAACTATTGAGCTGAGGCAGCTACCTCCCAGGCTAGCCCACCATCACCAGTGCTTGCAGAAGGGAATGGCCAGAGAGAGGGAAGAAAGAGACAACCGAGATGTCCCTGTGACTGCAGCTGATTGTCTCTCCCTGGGGTATTTATAAGCTATGTGCTGGCAGGCAGGGGTAGGCAGTTGGCTTGCTGTGACCTTGGGAGCCAGGGAGCCTGGCTAGCATTCCTGGGAGCCACGTGAGCCCAACTGGCAGGCACAGCTGCAGCCAATGGGGAGGGGACCAGCGCTGGCTGCTCGGATTGAGTTTCACTCCTGTCGCTTGAGGTTTTTCTCTTTTTCTCCCTGTTGTGCTTTTCCACTTTGTTTATGGGATTGGACAGGCGAATGCACTAATGGAATCCTAGCAAGAAAGACATTTGCCTAGTGGATTTGGGATCCTACCTTCAGTGCTGAGCAACCACTTCTTGACATTGCCTACCACAACTCCAGCCCCCTGACATGGCTGGGCTTCTAGGGCTCAAAGCCTTCTGAGCACACAACCCGCCCTCCTCTCTTAGGGCATTTTATGTTGTGTTCTCTCCCATGCACATCATTTTTGCTGTCCTTAGACGTTAGTGTATGAGGCTTTTTAACACAAGGGAGATGGGTCAGGACCAGACAAAGCAACAGATAGAGAAAGGACTCCATCTTTACCAGTCTAATCAGACCGAAAAGGCCCTGCGAGTCTGGATGAGGGTTTTGGAGAAGTCTGCGGATCCTGCTGGCAGGTTTCGGGTTTTGGGTTGCCTCATCACTGCTCATGCAGAGATGGGCAGATACAAAGATATGCTGAAGGTAAGGCGAACTGGAGATGAATGCATGCCATTGTGTTACACCCACTGTGGAGAGTGTCTGGAGATCAGAATGTGAAATTGGGTGATTTATTTTGTATGTAGTAGAACGTACGAGCTATTGAGTCCATATTGTGGGCTGCCGTAATCGCTGTGTTGT